GGAACTAACAAGTGTACACTGTCAAGCAGATGAATAATCTTATTCTAACCTGTGTCCCGCATTGGTTTATTGCAGATACTTGGTCCCACGAGACATGACTGTTGGACATTTCATTCATATGCTAAGCAAAAGGATGCACTTAGATCGATCCAAAGCTCTCTTTGTTTTCGTACACAACACACTTCCTCAAACCGGTAAGAAGCATCATCCATGTAAAGACTTTACTAGTTTTCCAAAGCTTCCATTAACACTTTTTGTTACTGCAGCTAGTCGCATGGACTCTCTCTACAATACTTTCAAAGAAGAAGATGGGTTCTTGTACATGTGCTACAGCACCGAGAAAACTTTTGGCTAACCAAAGATTTGTCGCTTCATATCTGATCGAAGCGCACTCTGAATAATCCATTTGTTTGATTCTTATGTTTGTGAATAACGTCAGCTCTTGTTGTTGTTATTGTTATTGTTAGCTGACATTGTACAGAAAAGCTAAAAAAAAAAAACATTTGACTTTGTAAATTATTTATAACTCAAATATGGCAATAATAAGACAGGTGATGATGATTCACACGAAACCCATTTTGGTTTTTTGTTCTCCCCCAAAAGAAAAAAAATGGAACATAGACAGTTTCGTGCAAGCACGCAAGTTTGGGGAGATAAGGTAAAATGAGGCCTAAGAAATTTCAATGTCGGTGCGGTAAACGTGACCTCTACGACTTGGATTGTGCGTTTTATGCGGATATACTAGTTTGCGTTTGAAACCATCTTTGAGACAAAAAAAAATTATGAAACCATAGAATAAAACACGTTTGCGTTGGGGGATGTTACGATGCCATCCAAACATGGTCCAAAAGCATTGGAAATTTTGTGCTCTTTCATTTCAGTTATTTAGATTCGGATATTCCTTAACAAAAAAAAAAGGAGAAAAAGAAAGATGGATATTCTTAATTAATTGCCACATTCTTGATTATAAATATAAATGTCGACTACAAACACGATAGTAGTATATAATAAAATAATCGATCTAGAACGTAATAATTGCGCTCCCAGTGTATTATGGTATTTTTATTTGCCAAGGGGATTAGATAAAGAAAGGATAACCAACAATGTAATTTTAAACAGAATTTTAGACACATTAAAGCAATGTATATATAGTCGTAAACTCGTATTCTGTGGTGGTTTTATTGTTTAAGATGCTTTTTTATGTGTCTAGACAAGCAGTTTTTCTAACACGACTTTAATGTGAAGATCTTAATTGCCATGGTTATTAATTAGACCCTTCCACAGTTCCACATATGTCAAAACTTTTTTTTTGTCAACAACAAAATGTTTTTAAATGATTAGATTATCAATTGAAACATCTTGCTCTAGACACATTCATCTAAATATAAAAATAACTCAAGGAAACCAAAAAAAATAATATTTTTATAAATATGTTGCTTGATAAATTTCACATTACACAATAAATTCAATGAGTACAACTCTGTGTTATTTGGGCCAAAATTGGGCCCATTTTAATAGATACACAGTTATATAGTTTAGTAAACTTTTGTGACTTGCCCAACAAACAACATTTTCGTTCAATACCCAAATGGGTTTTATCTTCTCAATAGGCCCGTCAAAAATTGCTGGAGACATTTATCCTTAGTTCTAGAGCTGCTTTGCTAGAGTTTTGAAAGCAGCCATACTTAATTGTTTGTTTAAAATTGGTTTCAGTTCATGTTGTCTAGGTAATAGAGTTTTTTTCCCCTATATTCATGTTGTTTCTGTCCAAACCAAATCTCTATTCTTGTGTCTGTTATGTTAGTAGAGCACGTGTACATTGGTTTTCGAAATTTCCTATTATGGTTCTGATAAGAAGGAATCAAAGCATAATCTTGAGGTAGTAAATCTACTGATGCTTTCAGGTGGGACTTGGAATTGAGAAAGAGAGAAATTCAACTCGTCGAAGCCCCGATTCGAAGATGTTGAGGTATCTAAACCCTCTTTGGTGCTATCTGGATTAGGATTAAGGAATATAACAGTTTAGAATATATTTGTTGTTGACTGTTTCCTTGGACCTTTCTTCTTAATCTTTCTAAGGTATCCTCTGATGAAGATGGGTAGCAAAAAAAATAAAAAACTCTTACGCTGGCTTCACAATATGAAAGAAAAGAAAACAAAAAGAATAAAGGTTAAATCTCTCCTACACACACCTTTTATATCAGTCTTTCTTCTTTCTTTTTTGTTGTTTCCCCCACACAATGATTCTACAATCTTTATGAGTCAATGTTTCTGTGTATTCCTGTCGGTAAAAGTTTTTGGAAGCAACAGATGAACTGTGGGTGAAGATGCATATGCCATTGTGAAAAGACACAAGAAGTAGCTAGTTGTCTGGTCCTCTATGAGTTGGTTGAAGATGGTTTTTACTTAGTCCGGTTTAAAGAATCAGCTTCTCTTATTCACCACTATGGTTCGGTTAGTGGAGTTGTTTGCGTTGTTATCCTTAGAACCAATGTCTTCATTTCTATTAATAAAATTAAGAGAACATTGTACGAGACAAAGATCCTTTTAGCCAAGTTTTAGCAACAAAATGAAACCCTAATTAGGATATTTTTGGTGATACTATACTCAATTTCCATGGTTTTAGATATCTTTAATTTGGAATTTATATTCTTGTCTTTAGATGAATTTCTAGTCAAGTTAAAGTTTTATCACTATCTCTATTAAAATCAACAGTACTTAAGACGTACTTGTATAATTTACCTTGAAAAGAAAAGAAAAAAAAAAATACTACTAAAAATTATATAAGCAAAAACGTCATGCAACAAATAAGACAACGATGTTATCGTGTCCAATATTATAAGTGATTAATAGTAATTATAAAATTAGAAAGCAAAGTACTGTTAATATAATGCAATTTAATTAAAAAGAAAAAGAAAAAAAAATTGATCTCGCCGACATTTGGTGGATGAAGAAAGGAGGGATGTTATGGTCCAAAAGATCCTTTGGGGAATAACAAAATCTCCAAAAGCTGGTCACATGTGGCTCATTCTTGTCCAAGTCATAGCTTCTTCACATCTTTTTTATTTTATTTTATTACAAATAACTTTATTATCACTCTTAACTTCCTTTGCAAAAATGCTTTTAATGCTCTCATTCGGCTGACTAATTTTCACATTTCGACTTTCCAACCCAAAAAAAAAAAAAAAAAAAAAGCTTTTTGTTTCTTGCCATGCGGTGACATGGAATTAATCTCGAATTTGGTTTTAACCATGAAGACTTTTAATACTTTTGTACTTTCAATTTCAATTTAAATCTTGATTATTCGCATTTGATATGATTTCTTTTGTATCTGCAAGATCTTGGATACTTTTAATTTTCAGTTATGCAGCGTATTAAAATTGATTCCATTAATGGTATCAATAAGTATACTTAGAAGTTAGAACCTCCAAAAAGCTTCTTTGAAATCAAAAAATTCTATAAAGTAAAAATTTACTTTTTGGGAACGAATTACCTATGATTATATAGCAAATATAAAAGTTGTGCAACATAGTTTATTGAGAAATATAGTTGTTACACAAAAATTTGTGACGGATACTATTTGTAACCATTGTATAGAAATTTGTTTTGACATTTAATAGTAGAACTAAGAGACTAAAGCAACAAACAGACTAAATTGTTTTCTTTTTTGGTTCTACAATTTTCACAAATTTTATCGGATGTAAACATGGGTTTATGATTAGATGGTGACAATGCTGAAACAAACTAATACTCCCTCCGTTTCACAAAGAGTGTCGTTTTAAGGTTTTAATCTCGTTTCACAAAAAATGTCGTTTTGTGTTTCAATGTAGTTTTAAATATTAATTCTCTTTTTTATCTCTACTATTTTAGCTTATTAATTAGAAAGAGAGTATTATTTAGTGTATTAATAAGGGGTATAAATGAAATTTGTTTACTTTTCTTAATTTGTGTGAAAAATGTTAAAGTGACACTCTTTGTGAAACAGAGGGATACGATATGCGAATGTTTTGAGTTTAATTCTATTTGGTTTCTCATTATTAAAAATAAGTCTCATTAAATGGAACAAAAAAACTCCAATTAGTTTAAATCTTTAACTTTTTATGAAGAGAATGGGCTTTTTTACCTACTACACTCAATGAGCCCCTCTGGTTCGTTTGGTCATCAGTTCAATGGACAGTGACTTTGGAATAGATCTCGACCGTTGGTCATCATCACTCCAATGCTTTGTGTTGCCGTTGGATTGGTCATGTCATGACCAAACCAATTTGACTTCTTTAAAGTGATGTAAAAAGTCTCATTGCTCCCAAATAATCTTCTAAACCATCCACGCGCATGCCTGAGCAACTGAACGTCAAACGCTACAGTAGATCCAAATTAAGAAAATGGGAACACAAATTTTTTGTTAGTGACTATCAATTTATGGATTACTAAATGACTGGTGAGTGGATGACCAAAATCATTTGTAAGAAATATTTTTGATTGGCTTGTTCTTCTTGTAACAGTTGCATCTTTAGTACTTAGTTTATTATACATGTAAATTTATGGAAAATGGAGTTTAGTGGATGGAAACAAACAATATCAGTCACACGATACTATTTTGCCCATGCTCAATGGACATCATGTTTTATTTGTTTCTTGACAAGTAGAGAGATTCATCGCTTTTTAAATTCAAACTTTCATTTTGTAGTGGCAGCCTTAATTGTCTTTGACACATAACTCCAATTTCTTCATGGAAGTGTCGTAGTCCATTGATTAAAATAAAAAGTAGAATAACTAATCGCTATTATTTTAACAAAGAAATAATCCAAAGTAATTTTCGATTAACATCATTTTGATTTGCAAACGTTTACTTAAATATAGTAATTGTATAAAAACTTGGCTACAACAAGCTCTTATATAATCTAGTACTGTATATTATCTATATAAATCTAACAGTCTAAATAATCAATGTCCCTTTCCTATACATGAATGTAGTACAATTAAACAACAAATAGAATTTATAGACTCAATGATTTAAATACCACCCATATGGCAGGGACCAGCTCAGTCTCGAGATAACTGAAGTCTACCTCTACCTTTTCTTTCTCTTTTTTTCTTCTCTTCTTTTTCTCTTCTTCTCTTCTTTTTT